TGTCTGTCTCTCTCTCTCTCTCTCTGTCTCTCTGTCTCTCTCTCTCTCTCTCTCTCTCTCTCTCTCTCTCTCTCTCTCACACACACACACACACACACACACACAAATGTAGAAAGAATTTATTGAAAGATAGCTTCTGTCTGAGACACAAGGGGAACCAAGATGGGAAAAAACTGTAGTCAACTAATAAGATTACTAGTCCCTTAGGTAATGTTGATCCAATGGGAAGTTACAAGGTGAGTATGAGGTGGGACATATCTCTGGTCAACCAATTAGATTACAACAAGCATAATGGCTTAGGCATTACTGATTAAATGAGGAAGAAATGGGAAAACAAATCTAGTAGCATGGACCAAAGGAGGATTTTTCTGGGAAGAAGTGAGCTGGGGAGGTCTTGACAACTATTTAGAATATCAATTACTGTGGTTCAGAGGAAGTATGCGAGTGTAGTCATTCTTTTTCTTGAAGCCTGGCTTTCAGTTAATGTGCCTCTGGTCACAAATGTCTTAGGTGCTGAGGGTTCTGCCCTGTCTGATGGCCTGTAATATTTATAATGTAGATGTCTCCAGTATTACTGCTCTTATTACCATTATTACTTCTACCGTGTTATTTGGTAAAGAAAAAAATAAGGATAGTGCTACTTAAAGTATGGTGCCATAGATAGCTCTTTGTAATTGGACAAATTATATGTGGGTATTTAGAGTAAATGTTTTATATTAATTTAATAGTATTTTTATTCCTCATGAATCAGATAATTAAGAAAAGTTGGCTTGGGTCTGAATGTCTTTGCCTTTTTATCATTATAGAAATTTCAAATATATAACTAAACAGAATAGTATAAGATACAATATAGTTATTCGTGGTGGATTAACTAATGGCCAATTTAAATGAGAACACCCAGCTGAACTGAGTGAGCAAGGTTCTAGGCTTGAATGACTCACTTGAGGATAATTGTCAAAGGCATTAAAAAGAGAACAGGAAAGGAAGACCATATGCTGCTGATGTCCCAGGAGAAGCTTTGTTGCAGCTGGTTTTCCTGGTGTGAAATCATTGGGGACCTGCGGGTTAGCACAGTTGTTTAAGCACCTGCTTGGGCAAACTCAGTCAGGTGCAGGGAACTCGATTCAATCCAAAGTTTCATATTCCTTACCAAACCCGCCCTTAAGGCAGCCTGGGGGGGGGCGGGGGAAATCCTGATACGAAATCACTTAAATCACTTATCAGAGGAGGAGCTTGGGTCCTCACATTTTTAGTTTTTTGAGCATTGCTTCCTGGGTCCAGTGCAGATCTCTTAGCCTAGGGGCACAGATCCTTCATCTGCTAGCACAGACTTTATAGCTTCCATCACAGGCCCTTGGGTCTTTCCAGTGCAGATCTTGATATAAGCTTGCATGAGGCATTATAGTGGCTCCTCCATCTCCTCAGTACCAGCTTTGATTAAATCCTTTTTTCTTTTTCCTCAAATTTGTGGTCTCCTTTGATTTGGTCAGAGGCTAACAGATGAACTTGAAAATATGAGCCTAAACAGCTGGTAACATTATGACTAACATGTCTGTATTCCTTTAATGCAGATAACCAAAATTTCACCAAATGTGCCTTAAAAGACATTCTACATGGCACAGCAGAGTACTGCATCAGTGTTCAATATATGCAGTATTGTGACCTTAATGTGGTCACAATAGATCTTAATAACACTGTGGTATACCAGTACAGAAAAGCTATCCTGCATCAACTTTGCTTTCCTGTCAACGATGACAAAGTATGAAGTTCTATAAAGCTCTCTGTTAAACGAGGGAGCTAGTATCTTAATTATAACAACGATCGACTTATTCATTTACATGGTCATTTGAAGTAATAAGGCTTTAATTAATGTGTTAAAAATTCAAATGCAAAACGGTATTATCAAGAAGAAAATTCGCAGACAAAATAAGTGTTTCTTTAAAAAAAGTGTTTTTCTCATTTGAATAAGAAAAAAAGAGAATCAAAAAAGCCAGCAATCAAAGTGCATGTAATTAACAGCAATCCCAAGGACCAGGAAAGCAAGTTACAAGTAATAGGTCGGTTTTTTCCCCCACACCCTCTTCTAAACAGTTTATGAACCTGAACAGATTCTCATTCTCTCTCTCTTTTTTTTTTTTTTTTTTTTTTTGACAGCTCAACCCACCCTAAGGGCGGGGCTGGCAAGCCATGTAACGCCGGGGATTGAACCGCGGTCCCCGCGCCTGCTGAAGCCTGCCTAAGCATGCGCTTTAGACCACTGAGCTATCTCGCCAGGCCCTGAACAGGCTGTTCTAAATCCTTGCAGTAGGGGGACCCCGCGGGAGAAGCAGCGCAGCCTCTAACCACAGTTGCGCCCTCCCGCCCCGGAGCTCGCAGCTCGGATCCTCACGGAACCAAAAGTGCGTGGAGAGGACCAGAGAGCGCGCAGAGCAGAAGCGGCAGCGGAGCGAGGAGGGCGACGACGCGGGTACCGAGGGAGAAAGGCACGGACAGCAAATGAAGTCCTAGAGATGTCCCGATCAAGGGTTTCCGCCTTCAGCCAGGCCGCGCCCCAGGGCGAGGGGCGGAGGTGGAGGGCTACCGGGCCGAGGTCGTGCTCAAGTCCTGCTCCTGCAAAGAGCACCATCTTTGGTGCGGGCGCCAGACAGTCTCACGGTCAGCGGTTCTGTCGCCGTTCTTGCCCCTGTAGAAAAAGAGGAGGATTTAGATTGGGTTGTTTCTTTTAAAAAGGCTTCTTTAACTTGCAGGTATAATTCAGTACCAAATTTGTGTATTTTCTCCCTGCCTCCTTCTGTCATCGACTGTGGTTTCGTTGTTGTTGCCTATCTTTATGAGAGTCAACAAAATCCATTTTGTTCAGTGGCTCTATGATCCACGAAGACTTTTAGATATCGGGTGAAGATGGAAATCTTCGTGCCTGATACTGATCATTTGCAGATTCGTTCTGGCTCACACAGGCGTCTTCCGCTTGTTGGGTGTGACCACGAAGACAGCGCCTTGCGGGTCTGGACAAGCTGTGCGCTGTAACGACCAACGCGGTCACACGCGCTGGAGGTCCTACCCCCGCGCTGCGCGGCCGCCCGTGCTGTGGCAACCGCCGTAAACGCTGACGCCCGCCCCGCGCCGCGCGGCCGCTGGCGCCCTGGCAACCGCCGTAAACGCTGACGCCCGCC